ATCCCTGATACGGGCTAGCACGTATCAATTCATCAGTTACCGTGGCAACTGGCCTGTAAAAAAGTTTACAAAATGTAGATTTTGCATATATTTTTCCCCTTTTTTTTAACAAACGCAAAGGTAAAAGATATTTTTTGGCGGTACCAAGAGCAGAGAATATATGCCAAGGTGAGTACGTGTATATTTTTAATTTTCCCTATAAAAACAATCATTATAACTTCGGTTTTTCACAACGTTGACAAAACAATTACGCACGTATATTACATCTCTCCCTGTGTGGTTATATTTCGAACCCTGGAACTTGGCGACAAAGCTGTCACTTGTCTGCTAAGGCATATAGTTATACTCTCATATGTAATGTTGATTCCACTAGGACGTTCACAAATCCCTGCGATATACAAATTTTGTAATAAATATATTTTTTAACAGCTCACCTTGCGCGACTACGAAAAGATGTCAATTTTTGTTGTTCTAAATCCGAACCCTGTAACTACAGTTTTAAAAGAGTTTGGGATTTTAAGGTTACATATTTTGAACAAGAATAGACTAATGAGTTCCACTATCGCTTTTTTAAACTTCTTTTTGGCAAAACAAACTCAAAAATCAATATTGAATGCGTGTGCACTGTCTTTGAAAACACAAATGTCGCTATTTTTGTTTTTCGAGTATACACTTACTTCGAACCCTGTAACTACAGTTTTAAAACAGTTTGGGATTTTAAAGTCACATATTTTAAACAAGAATAGACTAATGAGTTCCACTATCGCTTTTTTAAACTTCTTTTTGGCAAAACAAACTCAAAAATCAATATTGAATGCGTGTGCACTATCTTTGAAAACACAAATGTCGCTATTTTTGTTTTTCGAGTATACACTTACTTCGAACCCTGTAACTACAGTTTTAAAACAGTATAGGATTTTAAAGTCACATATTTTGAACAAGAATAGACTAATGAGTTCCACTACCGTTCTTTACTTCTTTTTTGGTCAAACAAACCCAAAAATCATCATTGAATGCGTGCGTACTGTTTTTGACAACACAAATATCGCCATTGCCCTGGTGTTTATGTGCATGGGTACGTACTGTATTAATATACTTCCAATAAAGTTCAAACGATTTTTACATTAACTTGACACCTCTTATTCAAATTAAACTTTAACTAAGTCAAAATATGTGACTTTAAAATCCCAAACTGTTTTAAAACTGTAGTTACAGGGTTCGAAGTAAGTGTATACTCGAAAAACAAAGATAGCGACATTTGTGTTTTCAAAGACAGTGCACACGCATTCAATATTGATTTTTGAGTTTGTTTTGCCAAAAAGAAGTTTAAAAAAGCGATAGTGGAACTCATTAGTCTATTCTTGTTCAAAATATGTGACTTTAAAATCCCAAACTCTTTTAAAACTGTAGTTACAGGGTTCGGATTTAGAACAACAAAAATTGACATCTTTTCGTAGTCGCGCAAGGTGAGCTGTTAAAAAATATATTTATTACAAAATTTGTATATCGCAGGGATTTGTGAACGTCCTAGTGGAATCAACATTACATATGAGAGTATAACTATATGCCTTAGCAGACAAGTGACAGCTTTGTCGCCAAGTTCCAGGGTTCGAAATATAACCACACAGGGAGAGATGTAATATACGTGCGTAATTGTTTTGTCAACGTTGTGAAAAACCGAAGTTATAATGATTGTTTTTATAGGGAAAATTAAAAATATACACGTACTCACCTTGGCATATATTCTCTGCTTTTGGTACCGCCAAAAAATATCTTTTACCTTCGCGTTTGTTAAAAAAAAGGGGAAAAATATATGCAAAATCTACATTTTTTAAACTTTTTTACAGGCCAGTTGCCACGGTAACTGATGAATTGATACGTGCTAGCCCGTATCACGGATGCCGCGTTCGCAGGCATAGCGTTTTGCCTAGCGTTTACGTTTCCAGTCCATTCCTTTGATTGTCTATGGTTACAAGCTGTTGTGACAGAGCTGCTGCAATGCTGTTTTCAACAGGTCTGTTACAAGCTGTTGTAACAGAGCTGCTGCAATGCTGTTTTCAACAGGTCTGTTAAAAGCTGTTGTGACAGAGCTGCAGCAATGCTGTTTTCAACAGGCCTGTCGCAAGTTGTTGACACAGAACTGCAGCAATGCTGTTTTCAACAACCTGCGACAGACCTGTTGCAAACCGAGGAAAGCGCCTTATGAAGCTTGTCTATCCACTATTTTGAACAAAAAACGGCCAAACAGGTTGCCATATTTCGGTTGTAGTGTTTCGTGAAATAGAAGTTTGAAATATAAAGTTTTACAAACAAACTTGCGAGATAATTTTTATATATGAATATAAAGTTTTATAAACAAACTTGCGAGATGATTTTTATATATGAATATAAAGTTTTATAAACAAACTTGCGAGATAATTTTTGAGCAAAACAGCCGAAAAAATACGACAAATTCAAGAAAGGTTCTTATCGTAAACAATTTTCAAAATTATTTGTCTTGAAGTACGACCGAAATATGACAACCTACTTGCATATTTTTCTTCAAAACAGTACATACCATAAACACAAAGCTTCAATAAGGCGTCTTCCTCGCTCGCAGATTTCACTTGAAATTGGAAAGAAATTATATATTAAACGAATTTCATGTTCATATCAGCAATGACGAACGTTGCAGTGAACACTCGGTTGTTCATGTATTGTTCATTTCTTAAGCTCTAGATCTTGTATTCTCATTGCTACAGTTTCTTCAAAAATCAAAACAGCTTTGAACTTGTTTGATTTTGTTTGAGGCAGTTGTTGAAATTTTGTTTGGCTCAAAATTGAAAAACAACTAAACATGATTACGTGATTGATATGTTTGTAATATTTCGCCCAATTGCAACGAGGAATGATGACGTGTGCACACGCGTTTATCCAATCAGATTAAAGAAATATAGCGATAGCACACGTCAGCAAATTGGAATTTGGATTTTGGAAATCGTAACTTTTTTAAAAAAATAAAACAGCGGCTTTTGCATTTTATAATAATCAGAGAATAGATACTATGGACTATAATCTCTCCTATGTGATTTAATATCGCCACCAATGACAATGATTAAATGAGAAAGTGAAGCCGGAAGTGTCCATTTCGTGCGATTTTATATCTCTTTACTCACATTTTCGATTGGTTTCCCTACAACAGGCTTGTTGAAACTTGTGACAGGACAAAAATTGTTTGTTGTGGACAGGTTTGTCGCAGGTCTGATAACAAGCTTGCTGCAGACTTGACAAAAACAACTCGCGACAGGTCTGTTGGAACAGGTTGTAACAGACCTGTTGATTTCAACAGACTTGCTGCAAATTGTTCTATCAGACCTGTTATCTCTTGTTAGTAACAGGTTTGTAGCGGGTTGTTTCAACAAGTCGCTACGGCTCTGTTGTCAACAGCTTGTGACAGACCTGTTACCGCAAGCCTGTTACCGCCTGACGAAACCAACAGACCTGTCGCGACTTGTTGACAACTTGCCGCAAGCCGGTAAAATCAACAGCTTGCGACAGGCCTGTGAGATTTCTGGCTGTGTAGGTCTAGGAACCCGTTCTACAATATAAACTAGAAATCGGCCAACAAATTGCTACGAAATACTGCAATGAAATATATAGCCTCTGAACTACCGATTTTACCGAACGGTCAATTTTCTCTGCAAAGAACGCCCCTTTGCCCAATTTTTATCGAGTAGATCATCGTGTTAATATCAAGTCAAGGATTATGTATACTTTAACATAAAAGATTAAAAAACTGGTGATAAAGGGTAGATTTTGAATAAAATACGAATATCTGTATACAAGATCTGAGCGTTTTTAATATTATGAAGCACTCGATACTTTCTCCAACAACATATTAAATTGGATTATTGCGCTTATTTTTTTACAAAATTAAAAATATTCACACATTAAAGATATGAAAATGTAGCTTGCATCACAAAGAAATGTTGGCTTACCTGAGTTATACCTTACACGTCGATTAAATTGCCAAAAAAGCCCTTTCAAAGACGCGTGCCACATTAAACTACAGGTCACATGGCGGTAGAGAACCAGTCGTCGAAGTATTCAGGATGTTTCATAGCCAGTATAAACGCCGCTGTGTACAATTCCCGTGAATTATGATGCCCAACACACCGGGTAACAAAATTTACCACTTTGTTCGGCTGTTCCAAGTACACTTTTAAAATACAAGGTCCGATCATATGTTCTTCGAAGCATCTGCTCAAAACAGTCCAACATAAATATCGCTTGCTTTAAAAACAATAATTAGGTTGTTGAAGAGTTAGCCTAGAACTTCCAACAAAAAAAAACCAGATGCTTTCAAAAACCAGTGAATCACAATGCTGTAAACCTCAACATCCTTAGAAATTGTACGCCAAACATCGAAAAGCAAAATTTGCCGGGAAAAGCTCACGACTCATGAGCCCGCACTATTTTTATGCAGCGTTGACGAAAGTCCACTCTGTTCTGCCGTACCTGATTTGCCAATTAAGTTCGGAACATGAAAAGTATGCCTTCTGAAACGGGCCTAAACTTTATGGGGCTTCGGTGACGCAGTCGTCAGAGAAAGCACCTTTCACCTCTGAGTCAGTCGTGGGTTTGATTCTCGTTACGGACGCTCTGAAAATAGTCAGTCAATTAACGCTCTGCCGAAAGTCGTGGGTTTTCTCAGGGTGCTCCGGTTTCCTCCCATATGCAGGGAAAGGTGACAGGGTGGGTTAGTATAAACACAGTTGAGAAAGTTTCATCACAATCGTTGTAAAGATAAAATGTAAGCTAAGTATGTACTTATAGGTAAGCGTAATACTTGATGTAAAGCCAGTAAAGGGATTTGGTCATGTCAACATGAGAAATGTTAATCGTAATCGTAAACTTCAGAAAATGTCAGAAAAGCGCCCATTTATTTTACCCAAAGTTTGTTCCTGCACCAGTAAAAACCAGTTATCATGCACTTCAAATGACATGGGCACTTCAAATTGGCTCTTTACTGTTATTGACATGTGCAAATAATTATGTACACAAAAAATGGAAAATTTGGATAAGACAGAATTTTTTAAAAACCGTCCAAAATAAGTAAATACTGAAGAAAGCACTTTACGAGATAAAATATGGAATTAAATTACAAACGACCAAAATGTCATTGTTCCAAAGCAATCACGTTATTCAAGCTATATATGTATGTATAAATATTGTTGTTCTTCAATAAAATCAGATATATTTTTAGTTTTACTTTTCAACATGTTGAACTATTGATGCTTCTCATGCATCAGCATCAAACTGAATATATATGGTACAAGCGTTGTACGCTCTTAATATTTAAGAATTAACTTACAAAATAATTACTGCAGCGCAACAACGTTTGCATATGCTTCTTTTTCATCATTCTCAGGTGTAACATTGTCATACGTGGTTTCATCAGCTCTAAGAATGTGGGTAATATCGGCATACTCTGTTTGATCTGTCTCTGCAGGATGTTCGTTTACACTTTTTCCAGACTTCATATGTAACATCTCAGTATAAACCAAATCATTATTGTCACCCTAGTTTATAAAATCGAATCCGGAAGATGTCATATTTACCGTCACGAGCCAGAACTCCATGGACATGAATGTTGACATAATTATCTTGCTTTATTCGCTACTGTCTCATGCAATAAAAAGTATATTTGCATTCATTGCTGTCATGTTCCGTTGGTGGCTATGTTTATGATAACATATATACAAACTTAACTAGTAATATTTACAAAGTAAGACAGCCAATCCCAACTTTGCACACTTTGTCAAACAATTTTTCGAATACATTTTAGTCTAGCCCAAATTAATAGTCCATATATCAACATATAAAACATCCTCAGATTGACTATAAGAATTTACCTGAATCACGTCTGGTGTTCACTCTAGCTATATCACAATGAAATTTATGACATCATATCCTACCTTTCCATTTTTCGTCTTTTCAGCGCTTGGGTTAACTACGGTGTAGACATCACCATTGACTGGTCCAGCCACATGGTCAACTGAATTTTGCCTGTAGTATATTCCAGAAAGGATGAGATATAATAATTTATACAAAATAAAAATACATGCACAGGATTATAACAAATAGTCTACGCCATACCCTATTATTATTATTACTTTCAAACATGATATATTGTAAATTATACGTAATGTCACTGACAGACAAAAATATTTAACAATTATTCGCCGAAGGCAAGGTGATTATCGGGGAATCTTCACCGAGACAAAGTCAGGTGAATATTCCCCGATAATCACCGAGTTTGTAGCCTGCGTGCAGTCCCAAACTCCAAAGGAAGTAGGACTTTGGAGTCTGGGACTGCACGCAGGCTACCGAGCTTTCGGCGAATAATTGTTTTAGTATTTTTACACAAGTCTTTTGTGTTTTTGGGACTGAATTTATTTTAATTTTGCTTATTTCTTTATCAGTAACTTCCACAAAGCAGCTAGCCGCCATTTTGCAAATTTCAGTTTTGTATAACAGCTGCTTTTAAAATACGTCAAATTTGACCAATCAACATGTAGGATTTGTTATATTCACTTGTGCAAAAATACTAAATCAGATCCTAATAATACTATTCACAGAAGAAAAAAAACAACTAATATCTAATTATAGTACTTTTATTAAATGTGAAAGTAGCTATTGAGAATAAGTTTAAACTGACCCATAGTTGAAATGTCCCTTTCCTTAATTTGTCCTTTTCGGTGAAGCATTGCCCCTGAGTAGCTTATACTCAAAATTTGGTGGCCATCATTTTCCGAAATATGTGTCAACGGGTTGGGTGGGGGAGGGTGTGGAAATGAAATACATAAAAAAATGGAGTTTTTAAGAAATCGCTGACCAGTTCTTCATTTTTCGTCAACTTTGCCCAATTTCTAGATATAAACTACAAAATTTGGAATCTTATCCGGCTATAACCCCTTCCCCAACCTCGTTCCCAGGGCTCCCCAGCTACCCCCGTTCCGCCGCCTATGTTTCCAGTCTTTCCAGGCCTTGACTTTGAGTAAAATTTAATGATGTTACACCCTATGTTGTTGTGTTCAGTTATAAGTGCTGTAAAATCTGCATGTAATGTGCAAAAACAACTAATATTCGCGTTTGTTATTAACTTACGTTTGGTCGTCTTTGTAATGTTTTCCTATAAAAAAGGGGGGAAAAATGTCTTACCAATTATCTGAATACTACTCACATTGTGTGAAATATTTACTATATATAGCTACAAATGTCTAGTATGTCTTATTCATAATCACTTCATATATATGCACAGTACAGTCTATTCATTTCCAATTGAAAAACGAACGTTTTATCATTCGTATTTCAAAAGATGTTACTGATTTTTAAACTACTTTGACCCGTTGGTCGGTACAACTTCGTGTGAAAGAAAACCCGATAACGTTCGCAAACAAATTTAAAATCGTCGAGAAACTTTGCGAAATTCATGACGAAAGAGTTCCTAGACCTACACACGCAAAAATCTCGCATCTTGTAACAAGTTTGTCAACAAGCCGTCAACAAGTTGTCTTCGCACTGCTTGTCACAAGTTGTCAACAAGTTTGGAACAAGCTGTAAACAATGTGTAACAACCTTGTTGATATTATCAGGCTTGTTACAAGGTTGTTCCAACATGTCCGATACAGTCATGATATAGCAGTATTGTTACAACCTTGTGTCGTCAACCTTGTAATATTCTTGTTCATCATGACTGTATTAGACTTGTTAGAACAACCTTGTAACAAATCCGATAATGCCATCAAGCTTGTTACAAGTTGTTAACAGTTTGTTCCAAACTTGTTACAACAACTGGGAACAATTAAGCAGTGCGAACTTGTCGACAGCTTGTGAACAGATTTGTAACAACTTGTTTGCAGACCTGTAACAACTTGTGCGTTTTACGTGTATAATCAGTAATAATTATTACAAGGCCAGACGTATATGACATGAAAAAGCCACGTGACTTAATACTGAAATTATGACAAAGGAAACCTTCTTACAACGGACTGTAAATTCAGGTGCGTTCGTAATTTTGAATTAAATTTACTATTGATTCTTAACAACGAACACCTCCAAACAACGACATTCTGATTACAAACTGAGCATTTTGCAAATAAGAACAACATCCATGCATATAAACGGACAGTTCACATAAATTTGTGTACAAAAAATAAACTACAAAGTATGAGCATGAAAACGTTATCCCGTGCCTCTACATATTAAAGCTATCGTGCACGCCTTTCCTGTACTTTCACTAAATATTTGCAAACACTTCAGTCTCTAAGACAACTTAATTAACTTGTTAACTTAATTAACTTAATTAACTTGTTCCACTGCAGTTTGGCGCCTGAGGAACGAAAGAGAATTGAAACAACGGATTCTTATTAAACACAAACGGTTGAAAATTACGCATTTACGGATATAAAAAAATAAAACATTAATTTTTTGCTTATCGTGCAGATCAACACTTTTAAGGTTTTTCTTGCACGATTACAAACTCGTTCGGTCAGCAGCATCCAAACATGATAAACTAATTACTATACTAATTACGTAATGTTTAATATTCTTGTATAACCACTCGGAAACAAGACTTACACCAGTTCTTTATAAAAAATGAACGTACTTACTTGTAGATCTTCGTTTAAACCAAAATACCAAGATGATTACAACAATCACCAGCATAACCACCAGTATAACAGGTACAATGATAGTAGTAGATGAGACTCCATCATTATCTGACTTTCTCGCGGCATTAGTTCCTTTACCTTGTTCAGTGCTGGTTCCATCACCTTCTTCAGTGCTGGTTCCTTCACCTTCTTCAGTACTGGTTCCTTTCGTAGGCCGCTTCGATGTGTTTCCATTTGGTTGAATAGAGCTTGTTTCTGTAGTATTCGGTTTTATTATCTTAGAAGTTGCAGTTGTAGTTATGAATAGGGACCTTAAGCATGTACGACGGCAACGCGACGACGACAGCCAAAACAAACATCTTCAAATAAATTATTGCGAAGAAGAGTTGTTGTGTATTATCCACTGCATGTATATATGAATTGAGTTCAGTTTGAAGAGATCAAAACAAAGGTTTTATGGTTAAAAACGCGTCTGTTGAGCAAATTTATAGTTTCACTTGTCGCGTCTTGACATGTTTGCGTTGTACACGAGACGTGAAAATCTCTGGTTTGCCGTTGTAAAAAGCTCCAACAACAACGTCTCTAACTCCCGTGGGGCTTTTAATTATTCATTTCTTTTGTACGAGATCAGGAATACCATTGTGCGAATAGCCGTCGTCGTCGCGTTGCCGTCCTGTTTGCTTAAGGTCCCTAATAAGAAAGCTTCGGATGCATGATAGGGATACAACAACCAAGGAGAAGTTCTCCTTGTATTTTTCAGGTAGTTGTATCCATATTCATCCGCAACTTTCTTATTATTGGAACTACCTACACTGGCACAGACCGCTCAAGATTATATCAGTATGGTGGCGAATACTATATGAATGAAGCAGGGCCGGATTAACGTTCCGCGGGGCCCTTGACACCCCCCCCCCCAACGGTATTTTAGACACTAAATTCAGTAAGATTAAAAAATATCATTTTGTATTTCGGGCGTTGAAAAGTTCCCTGTATATTTACAAAAGAAAGAATTATAGATTAATAATTTGATCGAACTGAAATTCAACCCAGTTTATACCATTAACATTATTATTATTTACAGGGGATATTCAGCAATCTTTTGGCATTGAACAGTTTCAACTGCAAATTTTGAAATTTTCTGACCCCTATGATTTTTTTGGCCTCGCTTTTTGGAGCCCCTTGCCCAAAGACGTTTTTTGGAGCCTTGCTTTTTAAACTTTGGGGCCTCACGGTTCTTTATTTTGGAGCTACGCTTTTGGGGGCCTTGGAGTCTATGCGGCCCCGCGCTGTTTGGATCCCGCGCTGAAACAGGGAAGAAAAACCGTTTGGGGCCCCGCTCTTTGGCGTCTCGATTTTTAAATTTTGAGGCCTCGCGTTTTCTGGGGGACTTGGGCCCTTTGGAGTCCCGCACTGGAACACTGTTGGGACCCCGCGATGAAACAGTGAACAAAAAAATCGGGGCAAAGTAGAAGAGAGTAAGCGCGGGGCCCCCAAAAGCGCGGGGCCCGCGGCATATGCCGCTTCTGCCATATGGTTGATCCGGCACTGGAATGAAGCAATTAATGTATGGAGTCTAAGAAGTACAATTACAATGACTGCATGAATGACAGGGGGCGACAAACAAATAACTTATATATAACAGCAGTTTATTGGGATCATGTTGGGCATTTTATGGTAAATACGGAGGTTTGGATACTCAGTTTAATTAACAGAAAAATTGGAGTAAAATTGTCATAAATATACCTGAGAACGGCCAGCAGTTTTGAGCGTGACGACAACTTTTTTCGGCTGTGCTTTGATTCAGCTCTTTTATGTCATTTGTATAGTTCTCTCCAGTACGTGTTATTTCAATCATATATCCTTGAATATTTGAACAACTAGTATCATTTGGTTTCATCCCTTTTAGGAACACATCTTGTTTATCAATACCTTTATCAAACAATCTACTGAGAGTACCTCCTAAAACGAAACAAAAGAAAAATTATCTAAGATTTTGCAAAACTACATCTATCCTTATCAGGGACGTAGTGAAGACTTCGTTGTTGGGAGGGTGTAATGGTATAGCAGCAGTGTTTGAAATTTACAGTGCTTTTTCATGAGTACATTCAAGTAGCAGCTGTTTCTTTAAAAAAAAAGTATATTAGCACAATGGGATACAAGACTAAATTTCCTGGGGGGGGAATTGAGAGCTACCCTGATGAAAATAAATATTTAGACAGAGAGCCAGGGATTGAAACTAAAATATGGCATTCTTAGCTTGCGTTCACTTATGACGATTTTAACTTAAATTACTCATAAACCAAATATTAGGGGTGTTACCCCCTCCTCCCTCCTCCTCACACACACACAACACAACCGATTGCTATGGCCGAGATCCTTATCGGATAATCAACGCTGAAAGATTTCCAGTCAATATTCAGGAGCCTAATTTGGAAAGGGATTTTAAAGTTTCCTTTGCGTCTGTGTACATGTAATGGAAATATTGTTACCCTGCTGAAACATCTTTTTCTTGATGCATGATTTTCTTTCCCAGCCTTTGAGGTAATACGTTGTTTCTCCGGCCTTTTACGCCATAAATCATCTTTAGCCCGTAGGATAGTAAACAGATTATAGGATTAGGATAATTGTATACTAGATTATCTATTTACTTACCCAATTCTTCCAGTTTTGTTGAAATAATATCACTTGTGATGTTTTCAAACGTCGTTGAAAAACAGTAATTATCAATTTCACCAGGTTGACTAGTGCCAGATGGAAAACTAGATGGACCCTCAGATGGAGAACTAGTTGCACTCCCAGATGGAGGAGAACTAGGTGCACTCCCAGATGGATTAACAGTTGGATTAACAGTTGGATTAACAGTTGGATTAACAGTCGTCGCTTTTGGTGGTGCTTGAGTTTCAGGTTCTGCAAAAAATATTCACATGCAAGCTTTTATTATTTTGTTCAACGATATCGTATAGTAGCAACAGATACAGATAGTAATACTAATATTAAATGGAGATTTATAACTCTTCGAGAAATATATTTGGGTTATTGTGATTCTACAATAATTTTTCTCTCGCCCTGTGAAAAGGAATCCGGCATCCAACTTTATGCTCTGGAATCTGGAATCGAGATCATGGAATCAGGAATCCACATAATAGGATAAATCCAGATAAATCTATAGTTAAAGAAATCCATTGACTTTTATCAGGATGGAATCCGAAATCTACGAGTCGGGATCCGGAATCCCGAATCCAAGGGTCCGGGATCCGAAATCCAACTTCGCCGCTTTATTCCCTCACATAGGGCGACTTCTCACACGCAAAACACTAAACATTCTTATTGTATCATGTCATACAATTTGTTGTAGATTGTACATTGAAAAAAGAAAGCAAACCCGAAGCAGACTAAATTTAGATCAGTGAACTGAATATAACTGGAACGCCACCAGTGGCGTAATGGAGTGAGAAGGGGCCCTTAGGCACATTTGGTGTGGGTGACTCTGTTGACTGTTGTCATTGTTTGATTGGGATATTATATTTGTATTGAATATTTATAGAATGTTCTGGAAAATTCCATGTCTATAACAATAACAGTCTCCAACGCATGTAACAACTAATAAGAACAACTTTTGTTTTATTTGATGTTACGTTGATTTGACTAAAATAACATGACGTACGTAGAATATTTATTGTCGCCCGCGATGAACTGAGAAAAAGCGCGCGAAAAGGAAGCCAGAACGTTAAAAATATGTATAAAAGTGGTCTAAAGAAACGCTAAAAATTAATGTTTTGAACCGGGAAAAGTCAAGTTGGGTTTATGTTTTTAAAGTTTATCACTGGTTTGGACAAATGTAAGTGCAAAGACGTGTATTTGTAATGTAAAATAATGCATTTATATTTGTAAATATAATCGTAATTTTCTTTCTATTCTTTATCTTATAGCTTCAGATTATATACATATTTTATGCAAATTTCGTGTTTGTAAACCATTGTTGTTGTTTGTCTACTGTCGCCTGCGCCATCGGTCCATTATCTGAAGATTTTATATGTTTGCTGATGGTGCTATGTACTGAACTTTGTCTTTGAAGTAAAATGGATAAAGAGATCAAGAATAAAGCTAAGAATGCACGCCGTGGTGCAAAAGGTTCTCTGACGAGAGCGATGAATGTTACAAATGAACTGATTGAAGCAAGTCGTTCAAAAAGTGAAGTAAAACAAGCATTTGAAGAGTTGCGAAGGGCTCATGAAGGATTAGTGATGAAGCATGAAGAATTTACTATGTTATTAGATGATGAAGAGTTCGAAGAAGCTGAAAAATGGATGCAAGTCTGTGCAAGTGAGTACGTAGCCTTTACTATGCGTTATCCTGATTATATTAAGAAAATAGATGAGGATAAAAGTAAACAGAATGTCAGTGACAGTGTCGTTGGTGAATCGAGTGAAGAGAACAATGAGGAAAGTAATGATAGTCAAGGAAATAACAATATGATCGAACAGTCTACTGGTTCTAATGAGAACAATCACCCAAGCACAATGCAAAACCCTGAAATGATGCACCATAGTCCGAGTTCAGCCAAGCCCTTTACTGTTAAGCATAAAAAAGCCAAATTACCTGTGTTTACTGGTGATGTTCGACAATATTTCATATTTAAGTCGGATTTTAAACACGCTGTCGAAGCACAATATTCCGAAAGAGATAAATTGACAGTGCTACGTTCATGTTTAAGTTCTGAGCCTGCCAAATTAATCGAAGGAATAAGCTCTGATTTAAATGCTGCATGGAAGTACCTAGACCAAAACTATGGTGACCCCAGAATTGTATCAGACACGATTACCCTAGATCTAGAAAGATTCAGAAGTATTCAACCTGGAGAAGATAATCGATTCTGCCAATTAGTAAATTTAGTGAGACGGTCTTCCAACATCTTGAAAGAAATTAAGCGCCCCCAGGACATAGATAATACGCATGTGATCTCCCTGATAGAAAGAAAAATGAGCGAAGACGACCTGAGGGTGTGGGCGCGCTATCTTAATTCTCAAAAGTGTGAACCATCAATGGATAACCTTCTGTCTTGGATGGAAGCAGAAATGACTGCCCGAATGCGCTCTGGGGCCCAAATTCGCAAGAATGTCCGACAACACAGGGTCAACACATTTGGCTCCAAGACTGAAAATGATGATGGAAAGCATGGAGAAGATTAAAATCGAAGCAATGTTATGTATGTCAAGGTCAACACTATATAGACGAATGCCAAAGATTCCGTGATATGACGCCAAATGAAAGATGGAAAATAGTGAAAGAACAACGAGCATGCTTTTCCTGTTTGAAGAGAGGCAAAGGCCACACAGTTGCAAACTGCTCACGAAAGAAAGAATGCGGAGAGAAACTACAATCTGGTGGTGTCTGCAATAAGCCTCATCACAAGCCCCTCCATGTCGATGCAAATGTGACCCCAAAACCTCCCCACATCGGTTTTATCCATGATGTTGGTAGTGGTGCTTTGCTTCCAGTGCTTCTCGGTCAAGTGAAAGGAAAGAATGGAACAAAAGCTGCAAATGTTTTCTACAATAGTGGTGCTCAAATATCAATGAAGTCATATTCGATATTCGAATATCAACGAAGTTCTCGATGCTGGTGGTTTTCACATAAAAGAGTGGATATCCAACGCACCATTGACTGATAAAGAAAGCAGAGATAAAGTAGTATTCGGAGCAAATGAAGAAAGCAATATGCAAAGGATTCTTGGAACGGTTTGGCATCCAAAGCAAGATCAGTTCTCGTTTGCAGTAAAGATCGAGTATTCCAATGAATTATCTAATGAAGCAACGCCTATGTCTACTACAAAGCCGTCCAAAATGACAAAACGAATTATCCTCAGCAAGTTAGCTGGCATTTTTTATCCCATCGGAGCCGGAGCAGCCACTTTGGTGAAAGCGAAGATCGGTATGCAAGAGCTTTGGCAGCACGGTCTAAGTTGGGATGAAGATATACCATCTGATCTCAAGAAAAAATGGACATTGTTGTTTAATGAAATGGCTGCACTTTTAAGTGTTAAAGAACGTTTGTTAAAACAACGTTCAATTTCAACGATGCCTCACTCCAGCAGGTGCAATACTTAATCCAGATCTGATCACATTCTGTGATGCATTCCGAAAGGCCTTTGGAGCGTGTACCTATGTTAGATGGGAATTGACAGATGGAAAATTTGGAGTTCGGTTTGTAGCAGCAAAGTCTCGAGTTGCGCCCTCAAAGGAGTTAACGATCCCTCGTCTGGAGTTGCAAGCAGCCGTACTAGCGAGTCGCCTAGCGAAGTCAATTCAAGAGGAAACGAGACTGAAAATTCTAAGAACAATGTTCTTCTCTGACAGCCGAGTAACGTTAGCCTGGATCCAAGGAATGCCACGTTCCTACAAACCATTTGTGTCGTGCCGAGTCAGCGAAATCCAGTCGAATTCTAATCCCGCAGATTGGTATCATTGTCCCACCGCTGAAAATGTTGCTGATGACTTGACTAAAGGTATCACACCGAAATAGCTCAACGGTAGATGGTTTAACGGTCCGTCTTTCTTAGCACTGCCAGAGGAACAATGGCCAATGGAAATGGGTATGCCGGACGCGCAAGAAGTTAACAAAGAGAGAAGAAAAGTTACCGTCACCTGCCCTGTAACCGTCGCACATCCAATATTTGATTGTCAACGCTATGCCAAGTGGAAACGAATTGTTAGAGTTACTGCCTATATCCAGAGATTCTGCCATAATTTACTTGCGAAGCGTAACGACGAGAACACTCAACCGGAATTGGGACCCTTAACTGGTGAAGAGCTCCAAGCCGCAGAAGAATACTGTCTCAAACAGGCGCAATCAAGCCTCTTTCAAAGAATGAAGAAAGGAGATTTCAAAACACTCTCGCCTTACGTCGATAACAAGAAGTTAATTCGAGTTGGAGGACGCGTAGACTCGTCACTTGTTTCCTACGATAATGAACGACCAGTGTTATTGCCCTATAATAGTCACATATCGAAGGTCATCATACGTGATGTCATCAAGTTGGTCATAACGGTGTCGCAGCCACGGTCGCCAAAACCAGAAAGAAGTATTGGATCATCAAAGCCCACAGAATTGTGAAGGTCATCAAGAGTCGTTGCACAGTTTGCCGCGAAATCGAAGCGAAAGTGGAAACGCAGTTGATGGCGAATTTGCCAAAGTTTCGTCTACAGCCACACACGCCACCATTCCTCTACTCGTCATTGGATTATTTCGGCCCATTGAAAGTGAAAGTCGGTCGAAACAAGACATGTAAACATTACGGTGTTGTATTCACCTGTCTCAATACCCGAGCTATCCACTGTGAACTTGCTGTTGATGCTAGTGCTATGGAACTTATGCAAGTATTACGACAATTCTTCTCTTATCGAGGTTATCCTAAGTTCATCCTGTCCGATAATGGCACTCAAATGGTAGGAGCTGAAAACGAATTACGCCTGATGATCAAAGGATGGAATGTAAAGCAGTTGAAAGAATTCTGTGCAGAACGCAGCATAAAATGGCAATTTACTACCCTTGCTCCTCATCAGAATGGTGCCACGGAAGCTATGGTTAAGACTATCAAAACAGCCTTCAAGAGAGCTATAAGTGATGCAGTTGTTGCACCGTTCGAGCTATACACCTGTCTGTTAGAGATTACCAATTTAGTTAACCAAAGACCCATCGGTCGCATTCCAACGGACCCCGACGATGGTTCCTACTTGTGCCCTAACGATATCCTACTTGGTAGAGCAACCAGTACAATCCCTCAAGGTCCATTCCGACAGACAGAAAACCCACGTCATAGATTTGAATTTTGTCAACGAATTGTCGAAGCCTTCTGGAAAAAGTGGTCGAGAGACGTACTACCACAACTGGTTCCAAGAAAAAAATGGAATGCCGAATCGCGAAACGTTAAAGTGAATGACTGCGTAGTATTGACGGATCCAAACGCACTACGAGGTAAATGGGAAACTGGAAGAATTGTCCAAGTCTTTCCGGGACAAGATGGATTGGTAAGAAATGTGATGGTGAAGACAACGAAAGGTACTTATTCACGTCCTATAAGCAAGATTGCGGTTATATACCCAGTTGAAGGCTACGAAGACGAATGAAGGAAGAAATAGGAATTCTCCCATTGCCGGGGGGAATGTTACGTTGATTTGACTAAAATAACATGACGTACGTAGAATATTTATTGTCGCCCGCGATGAACTGAGAAAAAGCGCGCGAAAAGGAAGCCATGTTGAACGTTAAAAGTATGTATAAAAGTAGTCTAAAGAAACGCTAAAAATTAATGTTTTGAACCGGGAAAAGTTAAGTTGGGTTTATGTTTCTAAAGTTTATCACTGGTTTGGACAAATGTAAGTGCAAAGACGTGTATTTGTAACGTAAAATAATGCATTTATATTTGTAAACATTATCGTAATTTTCTTTCTATTTTTATCTTATAGCTTCAGATTATATACATATTTTATGCAAATTTCGTGTTTGTATAATTTAATAATAAGAAAACCAAACCGTTGTTGTTGTTTGTCTACTGTCGCCTGCGCCATCGGTCCATTTGAGATGCAATAAAAATCAGCTACCCTTGTCGATGGAGGCTTTATTATTTAAGGTTATTAAAGGGGAAGTCAAGTCCGTTCTGCGCATCGGTTCTGCGCATAACAATAGAGGGCCCTCTGAGGTAAACATTGCCCAAATTTTGAATGTTTCGAATTTTTCTGAACACAAACTCTATTTCAGATTCATGTAGAAGCATAACGAACCAAAATGGTGTTAGATATTCAGACAGTACATCATATTTTAAAAAATACAGCAGTTCAAAATGTAAACAAACCGTTTGTTTACATTACGGACTTGACTTCCCCTTTAATTTTGCATTTTCCCATTGATTCTTAACCTGCATTTTTTATGTTTTCTAATTTTCCAGGCGATAGGTCTGATGGGGCCCCTAACTGTCGGTAGCCTTTAGTTTTTGAACTAACCCAACCCAATGAGCGTTACGCCACTTAACGCCACCTCCAACAGGAAATCTGAAACGAATTCTCAAATGTTTAACAGTTATAAATTAAATATATATAAAACTTAATTGCATATAAAATAAAATACTGAATATTTTGATCGGCGCCGCGCCCAAGGCATGGTTATGGGCTAATATCGAATGAACCATGGGCTAATATCGAATGAATCATGATTTGTGGGCTCAAACAGTCGCATGGGTTTTGAAGGCTAAAGGCTTGGTCCATGACATGTTTTTGTTCTTAAGGTCAACCAAGTGGAAAGACATATATCAGTGCCCCGTAGAAAACACGCGCAGTTTTCGCCCGTAGAAAAACGCGCAGTTTTCGCCGTTAAAACACGCGCAGTTTTCGCGCATGCTCAAACAATTTTCCCACCTTTTAATATTGTCAGCTTTGATGCATACACAATTAAAAGACATGTTCGCTCCTTGAACTGGTCTCGTCTCGCGAGAGAATCGCGAGACATAAACACGCATATCTTGACTCCCAGGCAAACATGGGCGACTTTATCTGAAGGTAGCGTAACGGTTCCAGTTATATTCATTTCATTGATTTTCATATTATTTTCATTGACTGACTGTCTACAAAACTACAACAAACAGACATATCGATCCTTGACTCCTAAGTCTATATAAATGGAATAAAATTTCCTGTGGAAAATTGTTGCCAGGTGGAGTTTACAAGTAGTCCTTACTTTTTGTCGGCGTTGGTGGAGAAGTTCTCCGTCTTGAAGGACATGCATGACAACATGTGATCAGTACGGTTACGACAATCAATATACCAATGGTAGTAAAATGTTGATAATTGAAAAACTTCCCATACTGTTTACTGTACATTTTCTAAACATGAAAGAAAATTTAATAATAGAATGGTTACATTTATAGTCTCGTAATTAAAACACTTCGTCCAACTAGAAAAATAACTATTGTAAAAATTAAAATCCAAAACGGGAAATTGTAAAAATGGTCTTCTAGACAGATAATCTGTATTAATTGCATGTAATATTCTTTCTTCGATAGCTAATGGTACAAGCAAAATGGCTATATCAAAGCGATTATGCATTGTAAACGGTAACAGTACTAAATCGAAGCTTCTACGAGTAACGGCGTTAAGTAAAGAGATTCATCGGCAAAGTCAGAAAACAACAGGAATCGACTTCAAATATTATTACTGCTGATGAATTACGAGCAGTTGAAAACCTTCGCTTGAATGTAATACAGGCAAACAGCTTCGAAGAAGAAAGGGTCGATCTCCTGGGAGTTTCGAAGAAAGCAACTTTATTGGCAAGACAACTGCATGGATGTATTCCTAGACGAAGGAGGTATAATTCGATGTCCAGGTAGAATTGAACACTCATCATTACCGTCGCAGCAAACCAGCCAATAGTTCTTCCGACAAGACATCATCACACATGCAGACCTTGTAATTCATGATTGTCATAAAGTAGTGCGCATCATAACGGAGTCAAAGAGACATTAAACTGCAGTCGTGACGTGTATTGGATTCCGCGCGGTAGGCAGTGAAACGTGGGATTGGAAGTGTGTTATACAGGAAACACGAAGGGAAATCATACGGTACTACAAACATTGCCACCCTACCTCCAACTTGCTCCAAGTAATTAGTAAGTGATGATCCACCTTTTGCTAATAAGGTATGGATTTTGCGGGACCACTTTATTTAAAGATCGACTTGGAAGACGAAAAAGAACGAGAGTTAGAAAAGGCTTACGTGTGCCCTTATACGTGCACATCGACGAGAGCTCTGCACTAAGAGCTTGTGCCCAGTTTATAGGTGGCTGCATTCTTACATTTATAGTTACAATCATTTCGGCGTTTTACAGCACGAGAATTACTGACGAAGGGGATTATACCGACGAAGTTATTATCAGACAACACAAAGTTTAGCGATATTTTGCTAATAAAGGAATCATGTCATTCATGTGGCAATAGTGGCATTTTATCGTGGAGAAGGCTCCATAGCAAGGAGGCTTCTGGGAGCGAATGGTGAAATGTGTAAAGCGCTATCTTAAGAAAGCTGTTGGTCGAGCATCATATGAAGAAATGCGCTGCCCACAATCTTGATTGAAATTGAGGCTACATTGAACAATCGGCACATGACGTCATATGAAGACCGAATTTCTTACCCATTAACGCCAGCTGCTTTGATCTATGGTCGCAATTATCGCTACAACATCAATGCCAGGCAGTTCGAAGTAATCAGCTAGTACAAATCAATCCCTTACTTGACGACAGAAGTACCACAAACGGCTTTTAGGCCAGTTTACAAATCAATGGAGAACTGAGCATCTCACGAGTTTAATTACCTAAGGGAGTCATCTACATATATTGAAATCAAGACAAACCAGACTAACGTTTGTTCAGAACATGGAAAAGACAGAATTTAATGGCCAGGTGCCAAGGACAATACAACAGCTTAAATTATAGGAACAACATTTAAAGAACAACATTTAAAGTAACAAGTACACATTCTGTTAATTCAATGAAGGTAGTGTCAATTTTTGAAGAGTGAGAAGAGTAATATTAAAAATGTGAAGTTGGTGCTTAAAGGAAGAAACAGGTGCACTGTTACAAATTATTGGTGGGGGATTGACTTAATATAGGATAATTACTGAGAGGTTTAATCACCAAGTCCTATACCTTCAAACCAGATGGATATTTCATAATTTTAAAAGCAATTACTTGGTCTGGTTCACCTACCCTGTATATTTTCAATGTATTTGTTTGACTTAATATAACTGCCAAATATCTTTATATTATATATTGCCTGTCATGGCCGACAAGCTGCCAACCGACCAGCCTGTAGTCTTGTGTATAAAATATGGATGAAATCATGAAACAATTCTTGGTGGACATGGAAAGAATTTATTATGTCAATCCATTGGAAATTGACAAGCTGCCAACCGACCAGCCTGTAGTCTTGTGTATAAAATATGGATGAAATCATGAAACAATTCTTGGTGGACATGGAAAGAATTTATTATGTCAATCCATTGGAAATTATCTGCAGGGCCTTATGACAGCATGCCACCAAACCAACAAAAATCTAACAGCAAAGCTTGCTGTCATCTCTCCATTTGGGGATGATGAGCAGCAGTAATTGCAGACTGTATAACTTTGTTACATATAAGTCAATAGTCCGCTGGTATGTGCGCGGACATGTTAAAGCATAGTTCTCACTACGACGCAACACGGTTGCGCAACGACACAAGCATAAGCACATATTTGTATTTACTGTATGTGTCAAATTTAAATAAAATTTGAACAGTAAGTTTAATACAAGAGCTGTACAAAGGAAGCATAATCAAGCATTTGATTGCGTGTTTATATGATACGAAGACTTTAGGCTCTTGCTCGATAAAACTAACAATTCAACTGTTTAAACTGTTTATATGCACTGTACGTTGCAGTGATTATAAAATAAAAATATATTCATAATCCGTGCTGATATGAATATGACATGCCGCTCACGTACGATATAATAGTGTATAAGATTCTGAAAACTTTAAGCTTTAAATATATCGAACATTGTTACTATTTAGGAACTTACCCACCAACTTTGTCCTTACAGTAATACCTATATATAAAGTAGAACTAGTTTATAAAACCTTTTGGAAGCTGTGTCGTATCAAACTAAAAATAATGCTTTCACGAATTACATCAGTATATGACCTTTGTTCTTCCGGGGATCGGGTTACAATTTAACCTGCTGGCATGTCCGTTCCATTTCATTTCATTTCATTTCATTTCATTTCAAAACTCCAGAAAATGGAACTTCTATTGATTCAGACAAGATTTCTAATTTTAAAATATTCTATGTTAATTTATAAACTATAGCTGTACAGTATGTTGGGAAGATTGCTTTGAAGCCAAATTTGATGTTTTCGTAAACCAACATGCCCGCCCACTCCCAAACACGAGGCGGTAAATGACTCATAAAATATAAATGATTTAAAATAAGTCATTTTTCAGCAAACAACGAACACGCCTGTGTCAACGAGACGGCGACGACTGGAAGAACATTCAAGAACACACAGTTAAGCCTGCTTTTCATACGGTAACGGTCGTAAAGATTGAGTCACGGTCTTTCTCAACAGCTGAAATACATCAGTTTTTAAACACTGATAATAATAAGCAGAGTGATTATCAATAGAGAATACTTATGATTTACATCTGGTTTGATGAGGTTATGCAATAACCAAGGTTAGCAACTTTGGAACCAGATATCCTGACGTCAGCACGTCACATGACCGGGGGGATGGCCCAATGGGAGTAGGTGACATCTATCATTCCAAGTCTGACGTCCAAACGACAACAACGTGCGTTTTGAATTTTTTTTTGTTATTTTGTGTCCGTGTTGCGTGTTTTGAGTGGTTGCCTGTACGAATTGGCTATGGCGTCTGGTCAGAGTTCTGCTTTCCAATCAGCGGAATTTGCAACGGTTTTCAAGTTTTGCGCCAGTCAAGCGCACCGATCGACCAGAGCGCCGGTTTGGAAGAACTGGGGAATCCTGCGAACACCTCTCGGGCTACTACGCGGACGGTCTATCAGCTAAAGACTCAGGTAGGAGGCTCACAATCTCGGCAGAACGCAGGTATGTTGAATGCTCCATTGTTTTGTCGCAACTATAGCGAAATATAATAGGTATATGTATATTATTAGCACTGATATATGTATATTATTAGCACTGATGAAGATCCGGGCTTACGGATCGAAAGCTTTGCAGTAATAAATTTACGCGGTGTTTCCACAAACAAAACCTATTATATTTTATCACCATGCAAACATACAAAGAACTTATAGCGAAATAGATGGCGTAGAAGCTCACGCCGTTCCGTCTGTAAACCTCGCGCAAACTCGATCCAATGAAATACGGGGAAAATCATGAACTTGCTAGACACTTGTGTTCATCTGTGTTTGTTTCTAACTCGAGCCCCGAAAACGCTTTGTCCTTTTCCCTGGCAGAGCTCCAATTCCAGTAAAACTGGTTAAACGTTGTGCCAGATTCATGTGCGCACTATGGCCCAAGGAAAAGGCGGCATAAGCCAGTTTGTGGATTATTTAGCCATAGATATATGGTACTATAGACCTTATTCATAAATCGTGACGAGGCCTCGTATCCTAGGATACGAGAAAAAAACGCGGGAAAACAAGCGAAAACTGCTTGACAAGCCAAATTCAGATGCTATTATATCGGCTTTAACGGCTTGTTTTGTTGTTGCTTTTTGCGATTTATAACGATATTTGTGTGTATTTTAAGACTTTGTGCCCACAACGAAAGCGGTAAACGAGTATATTATAAAAGCGACCGGTTTTTCTCCCGTTTTTGTGTGGAAAAAACGACAACGTAGCGACAGTGTTTATCCGGGAGCGAAAAACAGTATTTTACTGAGATTTTAACGTCAATATAAAGGTTTATTCTGTGAAGAATCAAGACCACTATGGAATGGAAGTATAATTTTTCGAATTTGACATAAATATGAAAGAAAATAACAGTCAAAAATCACAAGAGAACGTCAAATGTTATTGATTCGTACAGAAAAATATGAACTATGGCTGTGGCTCGATAACATACTGCAAGCAGCTTACAAGTTTAAAAAATGAAGGCTACATTACCTGAGTGAGTTGTAATCTTATTTCTTCAACAATAGTTTCATATTTCTTACGATTTTGGTGTTGTATAGACGTTTTGTAGCCTTGTTGGTTGTTTGTTTTGATCATACAAACTACGACAATAATACAAAGTCAAAGGTTTCCTTTTTCGATTGACTAGGATAGGATAAAACTTTATTTGACTACGCTGGCCACTTCAACCATAGCTGCTTTCCAAGTGGGGCGTAGATAAATGTTACAAAAATATATCAAATACAAAATCACTAAGAATATTAAGAACTACGAATACAAATACATATTACAAAACAAATGGTATACAAAACTCAAATAGCTAATTCGTCAGACTAACAGAGGAAATATTTCTATTGAAAGAATTTAAAGATTCGCTGTTTCTTACTTGTTCAGGAATGCTATTCCAGATTTTAACCCCACTATATCGAAAACATTTTCTGCCATACTCGGTATTTGGTCGTGGCAGAAAGAGAGACGAATTTGAACCTCGTTAGCCTGCGAACAGGCTCTCAAGCTAAATTGAGAGAACCTCGTAAATTATAACTGTGGATATGGTTAGAATTCTGGAACATTGATGAGAACCTCGATGGTGCCAAATTATTGACAACCTTAAACATGAGACGGGCCATATTATGTTTTCGCCTTTCTTCCAAGCTTATCCACCCTAATTGATCGAGGGCCAGTTGAGATTGTCCAGGCTCATCTTTAAAGTTCATTATAATTCTAGCACATCTGTTGTGAAGTTTTTGTAGTCGTTCAGACTGGCCTCTATTAATGGAATTCCAAACTTCACAACAGTAGTCGAAAGGGGGTTGGACAAGACCATAATAGACCGACTTCAAAGTATCAGAATTAGTGAAATCCTTTATCTTTTTCATGGCACTTATTCCAGAAGATATTTTTTTAGAAATTTGGTCAATATGACTGTCCCAAGTTAAAAATTGATCAATTTTGACTCCAAGAGTTTTTGTAACTTGAACCCCTTTAATTGGTTCATCTCCAATAAAAACACGCGGTTGTTCTTCTAACCTGTTAATATTGTGGCGTGATCCAATCAAAAGATATTCCGTTTTGACAAGGTTAAGAGAGAGCCTGTTCGATAGAAGCCATTCTCTGATATTATTGAGATCGACATTAACGGCCACCTCAGCTTCCTTAATTGATTTACCGGACACTGTAATGTTAGTATCGTCGGCGAACATGCGTGCTGTAGAG